TATAGATACAACTGTGTTCTTTCAGGGCTGGACATTGCTATTCCAGCCTTCATTCTGAAAGAAGGGAGTGTATTAAGACAACTCAAAATTTGAAAGTAAAAAAGCTTAACCTGTATTAGTAAAATTCTGATACCTGAGTGAAAGTGGTTTTGCTTGGGAAAAATTCAGCAATTCACTCTTTGAAAGACACTTGGCCTAAGAAAAGAAAAAATGAATAACCTACCAAACAAGAATTTTTAAGGGAACATCACAAGCAATGCATATAGTATCTCATGATGGCATGGTAAGCAGCATCACCTACAAGCACAGATCCCCAGCCTGGAGTTGGAACATTCAATCTCTAGAAACCTTCACCAAAACATAATTATTTGTCAGGGAAAGGCGAGTCAAGGTGATTTTTCTTCAAATAAATAATTACAACTAATAATGTTGATTCTGACACATAGAAAGTCTGCAAAGAGAGGCAATAGAGAAAAAATAATTGCTTCCCTTGTTTATGACATTATCTTACAGACCTCTTCCATGAAACTATTAGCATGGTTTGAATGTGACCCACTATAACAGTATCCAGTAACTCAAAGTCTCAGACTTAGAACACTGGGACACAAAGTGATTACACAGCTGTTTCAGAGACCAGCAGTGCTACATATCAATTTACACTGACAAGTCAAAGCTTTTGCATCAGTAACTTCTAAAAAGTGTCAGCACCATGCTCTTGGGTGCACTGCTGTATTTGGCAAAAGAATAACTTTTTTTTAAGCCATTTTAAGGCAGAATTAGGTGCCCTATACTTAAGATTTATGGAGACATGCTTGATTTTGAAGCATTGTAACACTGCATTTATACTACCACTTGTAAAGTGCTTCATTTGCAAAAATTAACTTCCTTGGCTGTTTTTACGCATTTGAGTTTCAAGAGGCATTGACATACATGTGCAAGTCAGAGCTTGCTTCATCTCACTTTTCCAGAGAAAAGGCGGCATGCTAGATCAGATTCTGCACTCAGCTGCACTACTGTAGCTCCCATTACATGGAACAGCTGTTTATAAGCTATAGGAATACTTGACTGCAGAAATCTCAGATGTTTGTGAGACCAGAGCCACATGGTGTCCCAAAGCCTTAGTTTCAGAGTACTGCCCTTCTTCGTTATTTGTGTTTGTATTATCTTCTCCACAGTCTGAACAGATCAGAGAAGTTGTCATTAATTATCATGAAGGCTGTAGAACAGGCTGGAAGTTTTATGTCAATGCTTCCTTGAGGGAGAAACTGAATTCCATCAAAAGTGTGCTTTTGGAATTAACCTGCCTCTATCCTATGAATATATTATTTATTTTTTAATTAAAAAGACTGAATAACAGACAAGTTCTGCTTTTAGTGTTATATACTCAATTTAAATATTCCATGCTGCTCTACATATAGACCCATACAACCAGAGTCTGGTTTAGGTCATGAATAGCAACCTAGTGATCTATATAGCCTTTCCCTTGTATGTGTTTGAACTACAAAGACTCAGAAATCAATGATTTTATTCAAGCAAAGGTTCTTATCCAAGAATTTTCCCCAACAAAACCCTGCCATGGCTGAAGCACCAGAAGGGTTAACACCACCATCTGGAACAGTACAGCAGCAAAAGATTCATCTTGTAAGAGCAGCTTAGAGCTTAGAGTTTCCAGCAAGATGTCTTCCACACCAAAACCTTATTATCCAAATTTTTCTATTTTAGATTTGGAGACATTTTGCTTAGAAACATAAAAAAAACCCAAAAAACCCCAAAAATGCCAATTACAAATGAACAACAGCAAAGTAAACCTAAGAGTTTCAAGGGCGTTCTTTCATTTCAATCCACTGTTACAGTCTTTCTGAAGAAAGTAACTCTGTACTTCAGTAAGACTGAAGTTGAAGTCTTCATTTAGCTTCCTCCCAAATTAACATAATAGATAATTCCCTTCATATATTCCAAAAACATTTTCTAAATCCCATCTGAAAAGACTACAGTTAATTCTTTACATTATTAACTTACTAAAACATAAAGCATTACAGCAATTGTAAAATTATAATTGTTTTGTCGACTCATAAGGATTCACTTCACTACATATTTTAGAAACCAAAAGCTTAGTTGATTTGTATTTCAAAAGCAGGGTGACTCAAGGAACATTAGTAACTAGAACTTCAATCTGTGCAGAGGAAGATACAGGCATCCAGTTAAATTAACAATGAATTCAATGAATAGAATCCTAATTATATCAGTCTACTCTTTCTATGCTTACTAGGATGAACTTGTTACACCCACAAAGGGAGAAAACTTAGCTCTGCTATTGGCAGAGAAAAGGCATTTGCACCACTCAAACAATTTACTCCTTAAACTTCTCGTAACTTGGAATTTAATGCTGCAAATTTTGGACCAGTGCTCTGCTTGGATACAGCATTCCACAAAATATATTAGAAAGTGTGTATCTTAGCCTGAGAAAATATACAGCTGTTTCCCCATCCTCATGAAGTGTGTTACATCAAAAGCAGTTCTGCTGACGTAACTGTTTAAGTGTAAGCTGTCATGAGAACACCTCTCTCTGCTATACCAACTTCCCTGTACTTATACAAGGTGCATAAAAACTCCAAAGAAGGAAGTTTTTACTGAGGTACACAACTATGCAAGCCAACTTATTTCTCCTATTCAGAGAACTCACTAATACTCTGCCCCCACAGAAACAGGTCTGAAGGAGGATCTGAAAAACAAGAAAAAAGCACAGCATAAAGCAGTCTGGATTCGTGTTTATTGAAGCCAGTAAAGACGTCCTCATTTTGCCAGCACTAGAAAGCAAGATTCCACATGACTGCATACTGCACCTGGTTAAAGCCATACAACTGGACTAAGGTTTGTTTGATACATTTGCAGTCCTAATTGTAAGTTGGAAAAAAAACCCCAATAAACTTAGTATACAGGACAGTGAACTTTCATTTACAGCATGTATATTGTTAAGTTAATGATGTACAGAGCAGTCACTTTCAACGTAGTTAAATTAAATAAAATATGAAATTCTGTTCAGTTTAAACAGGTTTTGGTTTTTTTTTTTTTTTTATTTTTTAATGCCAATGAAAAAAGTGCAAACTTAAAATCAAGCAGCATAACCACAGCATTTTTACGGAGGGCCAATCTTTATACTTTTCTATTTGCTTCAAGTTGAATGCTTTTATCTTTTGTTTTCTTAGTTTAAACATGAACAGTAGATGCAGTCACTATAATGCATATAAATATAGTCATATAATAGTTTAAACAGTCTACCATACAAGTGTATCTGCAAATAAAATGAAGTTTCACTTGAAAATGTAAAGGCTGTTTGCAATTTGGCCTTTGGTTCCAATGCTTGAAGACACCAGAATAACAACTGTGCAGCTCACCAAAGTTGACAGACTTTGGCAACCATGGATGCTACATTACTTACAACTTATTTTCCATAAACTAGGAGCATTCACTTGCAATTAGAAACCGGAAATCTATTTCTGTTTTGTCAGAAGCATCTTTCTTGCAAAGCTGGTAAGTTATCATACATTATCAGCTGTGATCAACTGTAGTATATTTACCACTTTTATAGAACTGGAAAGTACTTCAATTGTACATTTTCACCATGTTGCTAGAGAAAGTGCTTATCATTAGATGACAAAATAATGCAGTTTCAGACTGAGGTTTTTAAACTATATCCCATTATAATCACACACTTGTTCAATTTTCCTGCCGAGTTTTTGATGTTTTAGTCTCTAATCTCAATTCTCAGTTGTCAAGAGGACAGTGTGTAACTACTTCTTCTGGTGTGGTAACTTGCAACTGGCACACGTTTACACCAGGAAGTACATCCACGTTTCCCATCAGCCATCCACAGTCTTAGTCTAACTGTTATCTAGGCAACAGTATAACTTCAGGTCCTACCATTTATTAAAAAAAAAAAGAAAAAAAAAAAGTAAAAAATAAAACAGTGTTTTCAACAAAAAAACTGGCACAAATAACATAGTCATGTTAATGTTTGTCAAAGAGGCAAGTAAATACTCTTAGCTTTCTAGATGTTTAGACAGACTTACAAGAACAGCCTCTTGTTGTAACATAAGACTTGAAATTAACATCCAGTACTGTGTTAGTGGTCAGTCTAATTCTGTATATTTAAGTAACAGTATATATTAGGGAAGTTATATCCAGACATCAGATTTAGTACAGCAAGTTCATATCAATAAAAAGTAAACTCTGTATAATTCAAATTGTGGTTTTTCCCTTCAGCATTAAAAACACAGAATATGCTTGGTATTATTGATTTCTGGTAGTGTGTACACGTAAAACAAGCATACTGTATATAAAATCAAAGTGCCATTTCAGTAACCAAGTTTTGTTTCTTACACAATGGTTTTACGTGACCATGGACAGAGCTCTGTTAGAGCAACAGGGACAACCACAACCCATCTTTCCAAATGAAATGCTACATTAAAGAAAATACAAAACAAGTTACTGACATCATGTACACATTCATGCTTTTTCAGGTTACCTTCAGAACTGGAGTTGGCTGCACCTGCAGCAGATGTGGTTGGAACTAGGGCCTTGAAAGTTTTTGTTTTTAAAAAACCTCCATAAGTGTAAGGCAGGAATCAATTTTAGCTTGATAGCTAATAGTTAGTTACAAAAAGTAAGAAAAAAAATACTGAGAGTGTTCTGTAGCACATTTCATTATGGGAAAATGATAATGTAACCCACCATTCTTCATAGGCTAGCCTCTTGGCATAAGAAAAAAAAAAAGGCAGAAGCTATCAGAAAACAGGATTTAAAATTAAATACAAATTGCCAAACTACTGTTTTAAAATAGAATCAAACAGTGACTGTTTGTACTACAGTGCACAATAAGTTCAAGCACCTTCTAAAGACACATCACACACTGTGCCAGGCACTTGGATCTAAACAAGTTGTAGTTTATCCCTTTGTCAGCTACACCAGAAAGGGCATCCACTCTCTTAAGAGTTTTTTAAAAACTAAAACAAGAGTTATAACAAGAATAAATTCCCACGATGCTTAGTGTTTGGCCTGGAATTCTCCGATGTAAAGTAGTCTTTTTAATAAAACAGTGATTATTTACCCTATGTGAAACACAGGATTTAACAACATTGCTCCTCTCCAGTCAAGCCAACATACTAGTTTCTCACTGTCCCAAATCTGTCTCCCCTTTTAGGGCTCCATTCCCTACCTAGGCTTCTTTCACACAATTAATGCTCTGTTACACCACCATCACCACTCCAAGAATATAACGCATTTGCAAACATACAAGTAGCCAATTCCAGAAACTCCCAAAGAGGATTTCATTTCTCTTTCTTGCCTTGCGTGCAGTCAGTAGTATTTCAATGAGAATTCTCCATTTTGCTTCTCTGTGTTCTTCACAACAGGAAATGGCAGCTGCACCTGCTTACCTCCAAAACCAAAAGAATTGCCCTATATAAACTCTAAATGGTTATCTTATACAGAGGGATTTTATATGCAAACTTCCTGAATGTGCACTTTTTACTGGGACAAGGCAATGATGTAGTAAGCTCATTTCCCCTGCCCCAAGAAAACTGATAGCATCTGCCATAGCAGAAAATTCCTGGTCTTATCAGATCAATATACATAGTTATTTGGTCATTTACATATGCATTTTCTATGCGTTATCAAGCTTCGTTCTCTGTTGGAGGAGAGTTTGTTGTTACCATAGAGTCTGGCTTGCGAGTCATCCTATCCAATTCCTCTTGAACGTTTGTCAAAACTGGTTTTTGTCCTGAAAAGAAAGAGGACAAGGTTAAAGCAATCTCATTTCAATGAAATGTTTTAACCAATGAATACAAGTATTCACAAAATCACCCTTATATGTCACTATATTATTTAATTTCTCATTATTTCACCACCTACCCAAGAATGCAGGGCCTGACATAACGCAAGGTAAAGACTGATAAATATTAAGGTTTGATTAAAGAGATGAAATACTGAAGTATACAGCAGCATAAACTACAAAAATATCTGTGATTTTACAGTAACTACCACATTTAGAATTTTCTATAAAAATCAACTGTACACAATCTATACAATGCTACGTTCTATTAGTGGTACCGATTTGCAAAGACCTTATTAAAAACCAGATTTTAACCACAAGTTTTCCAAGGTATGTGGGACACTTGCTACAAAAATCACATTTGTTTGGTCACACTTATACTTGCTGCATTTAATATTAAACAACTAAAGGGAAGAACTCTTTTATGTCTGCAGACAATGTTTCCCTTAAAAAAGGGGACATGATTACATATTCATGTAATATCTCAGAGCAGTCATTTCAAAGGACTTCTCCAATTGGAAACAGACACACTGAAGTATTTCATGGTAACGCGCATCTTACATTTTTATATTAGACTCAAAACTTCTTATCAATTATGTAACTGAACCATCAATTTAATTCTCTTACTCTGAAAATTATAAACCCACAAACAAATTAATTACTAGAATTGGAACAATGTATTCTAATGCTTAGACCATACAAGCACTTAAGATTAGAAAGCTATATTTTTAGACAAAAAGTAGATTATATAACCCTGTACAGCTTCCTTACATAGCCAAAGAATTTAACAAGCATCTGTTTTCCAGCTCAAATGTGTGTGAAATATTAGGTGGATTTTTTCCAGGGTACATGCTGAAAACATTAAGAAGGCAACATTTGACTGTTAGAGATTTAAGTGGTTTTTTTCCAAAGTACAAAGATATAACTAAGAAAAAAGGTTACCTTTAATGACTATAAAGGTTTTAGATTTAAGTACATCGTAAGCTACAGTACTCTTAATAGCATGTATTCAAAGCATCAGTATTTAAACAAAATTAAAAGATTAGGATGTTAACTGTAATATAACTTGCAATATAAAACACTTCACACGTAGACTAATGATACCTTGGAGTTAAAAATCCTGAAACGATAAAAACCACACAAATTTCTTGCTCAAAAAAAAGTAAATCTAAATAAAAACTGAATAACTGTGGCTTTTTTATGCTAGATGAAGTGGACCCTTCAGCCTCCAAAATAATACCAAGCAGCTGTCTCCTGCAACTACCTCAATCTGGACAGAAAAACATTGCCAAGCTGTTCAATGACACAGAGGTTTACATACTGCCCTTTATCACCATCATCTTTCAAAGGAGAAGAAATACACAGAGCTGTTTTTAAGAAAATATAAATTCCCTCTATTATGAATTGATCCTTGCTTTCAATTTCCCTA